AGAGGCAGAGCTGGGGTGAGGAGGGGGACGCAGGCTGGCCTGGGGACGCTGCGGGGAGAACAGAGAGAAGGGGGTTAGGGAGGGCACAGGGTGCCCAATTTGGGGTGCTGGCTCTGCTCCTGCACCCTGCCCCGGGGCTCCCTCTGGCACCCTGGGATGGGAGTGAGGGGCTCAGGATGCCTCTGTTGTCCTTGGAAGGTTTTGGGGGCTCCTACAGCACATGGTCCCTCAGCCAGGTGAGCCCAGAGGAGAAAACAGTGCCAAGGAATGTCATGTATGCCAAGGAGGGGAGCATTCCCTTCCTTCCAAAGGCTAAATGGGGGAGTGACCCAGCCAGGCTGGGCAGCCCTCACAGAGCTTCCCCTTCCAGCAGCAGCTGAGCAGGAAGGGGCAGGAGCAGCAGCAGGTCCAGGGGAGTCCCATCCCAGGCTCCGGCTGCACTGACTCCCCGCAGGTGACTCACTGCCCCCATGAATTAAAGATGGAGCTGCCACGGGCCTCTGACAGCTGCAGGGGGAGGATCAGGCTTTTATTTCGGGCTTTTTTCACACCACAAAGCTGGTCGTGATCCAGGAGATAACAGAGCTCAGCCCCAGCAGCGCTGTGACGAGCATGAGGCCGGGGGCGGATGAGGCTGAACATGAGTCACTGCTGGCTCCGTTATGAATGAGGGGTGGGAAGGAGGGGACAGGGCTTGGAGCTGGGGAGGAAGGAGCAGGAAGGAGGGGGGGGAAGCAGGGAGTGGGCTCAGCTTCCCCTGGAAGTGGCCTGGCCATGGGTGACAGGGCTATCTCCTGGGCCAGAGGCAGGTCCCATGGGAGCCTCTCTGGGGACACCCTGGAGCTCGGCATCCCTCTGTGCTCCCCAAATCCAATTTTGAGGCTGGGAGCAGGGCAGAGGGATGCTGGTGCCAGGGAATGGAGAGAGGGATCACTACAGCACATTTCAGATGACAGGGCAGAGCCAGGTGGGCACAGCAGGACATGGAGGGGGGGGTCTCCCCTGGGCTCTGCATCCCCCAGAGCATCCAGGCCTTGGGTACCAGGGACCCTGCAGAGGGATGCTCAGGACCCAGACTACAAAACACCCCTCAACTCCCTCCCCCTGCCCACGGCTGGGGCAGGCTCAGATGCGTCCCCGCTCCCTCGGGCAGCCCCTGGCAGTGCCCCAGCAGTACCTGGGCAGAGCTCACTGCTGCTTGCAGGTGGAGAGCTTGCGGATCTTGCTGCTGGCGGAGCAGGCCTTGCGGGAGGGGTTGGAGGAGGCGCTGGCCCGGCGCTCGCCCTTGGCCCTGGTGCTCAGCTGCCCCGGCTCCGTCCCGTTCATGCACACGGCCTTGGGCAGCCCCTTGCCGCGGCTCTGCCCGTTCTGCCCGGCCTCCTCCTCAGGCACCTGTCCTGCAAGGGAACCGCCACAGTGAGGAGGTGGCAGCAGAACCTCAGGGAGCATCCCCGTCCCGGTGTCCAGGATGGATCCTGCTCCTGAGGGAAATCTGAACCTGTTCCTGCGCCTGCGAGGAGCACAGGGGAGGGATCCCCAACCCAGGATGTGCAAGGCTGGGAGCCTGAGACTGCACCTCCCTGCTCCCCTCGAGGTTTGGTCCCCAGCACACAGACACAGTGTCCCCTCCTCCCCAGACTGTGTGCCCTGCCCCAAACCTCAGGCAGCAGCCTGGATCCTCTGGGGAGCAGAGGGGCAGCGGTGGACGAGGTCATTCCCCTTCCTCCTGCCTTCTCTGCAGGTGCCAGCCCCAGGTACCAACTTTGGGGTACCCAGGGGCTGTGTGTGTTTGCAGAACGGGGCAGTGCAGTCTCTCCCGGCAGGGCTTCAGGTGTGTCACTGTCCCCTGAGGGAACACCCTGATGGGTGTCATCAGCCCCTCTCCTTCCTCAGCTCCCTGTGACTCAGCAGAGCAGGTGAAGAGCCACTTCCAGAGGCATCTCCTGTGCCACAGCCGGGCCTTGGGTCACATCCCCTCACTCGGGGAGTGACAGGGGGACGTGGCTGCATCCCGGGATGCTCCCACCGGGACACGGCGCAGCCCCCAGCCCAACACGAGGCTGAGGAGAGGCTTCTTCAGGCCCCTGGCTCCCCCCCACCGGATCCAGCCGAGGCAATTTCCTTCCAGCAGGAACGTCACGCTCCAGGGCCCTTCAGTTATGACTCAGAGGTTTGAGTGGAAGCAAAGGCTGTAAGACGATTATGTATAATTTTCTTTAAAGGATGCTCAATCCTTTCTCCGCCAAGGCCGGGCGGGACGTCAGCTCCGCTTGCGCCAGCATCACCCCACTGCTGGGGGGGACACACAGGGGTGGTGAGAGAGCTGCTTCTCCTCTAGGGGAGCACAGTGGGGGTCTCTCCTCAGACCCCTGTGCCTTGCCACATCATCCCTGGCCACTACCAGAGGTGGGGAGGGAGGGGTGGGTGCATCCTGGGTTACACGTGCAATCCATTCCCTCCTGGATCTCCCCCTGTATCCATCCCACTGGCTCCCAGCGTTGCCACAGCTCCCACTCACTGGCTTGTGGCTGCTTAGCCGAGCACTCCTGCCACGGGAACAGACAGGGAGTGACTGGCCACAGACAGCTCCTGGTTCTGGGCACCCACCCCAGAACTGTGGTGGCACTACAGAGCAGCACAGCTCCTGGCCCAGCTCACCACAAGGGCTGTAGTGATGGGGGTGCTCTGCCCCCCTCCAGGGCATGTGCCAGTGCCTCTGGCACTCTGGAAGTCACTGGCACAGCGGGAGGCTCAGGAGCACAAAACTCATGGCCCTGCTATGGATTCCTCCAGTGCCTGACCCCTCCGGAGGGGGGATGGCTGCAAAGGGCTCAGGGGCCCAAGTTCTAGAAGAACACACTGTCCCCAGAGCCCCCAGGCATGGTGTTCCTTCGGGTCAGCCTGGCTGCAGCCCCCCAGAGCTCCAGGTTTTTCCTCCCATCCCTCCATCCCACCGGCACGACTGCAGAGCCTCAAACAACCCCATTCAGAGCAAAGCTGAGCACTTCTCCTTCCCCTCCCTCTGCTGAACTTGGGCCAAGTCAATTAACATTTCTGACTGGGGAGGGAAAAAAGAATCTATCCAAACAGCTCATTTGTCTTTTGTGTGACTCTTCTCTCCTCCCCTCCTTCCTTGCTTCAAAAGCACAGTCCCGGGAGTCTATTATGGATACCAAGGAGGGAGGTGAATCGTGAGCTAATTTTACCTCCTTCACCAATGACAGTTGCTGACGTTCAAATTAATGAAAATAAAAATTCAGCACGGGCTGAAGTCTTGGCAACTGCTGCCCCCGCGGAACCGCTGACCCAGCGCTGTGTCTGCCCGAGCAGCTCCTGCCCACCTCACCCTCACCACGAGCAGGGCTAAAAATAAAATAAATAAAGGGAGGGCTGAGAGAGGAACCAGGAACGTGGCTGCTCATCCCTGCTCATCTCTGCCACCCCTCACATTCTTAATGGCTCTGCATCCAGCTCATTCAGGCACCAAAAAAGGTTTTGAAATAACACCACAAAGAGCTTTTGAATCGCTGTTTGTCAGACTGAGCACACAGGCACCATGAGCAGCCAGGAATGCACCTTCCTGAGCACCAGGCTTGGCTCAGAAGATCCAGTCCTGGCTGTATTTTCCAGCCTCAGACTGAAAAACGCAGGAGCAGGTGCTGCAGGATGGGGCTGCAGCAGTGGAGGGGTTAATGTAGGACAGGAAAGAGCAGAGCTCAGCCTCTAGACCTGAGACAGCACAAAAGCAGCAGGACCAGCACATCCCTTTACTGCATGAAGAGTGGGGAGAGGATTCTGCCTCCAGGCCACAGCCTTCCTCTCCTCCATCCTCTCCCTGCACTTCCCTGGATGGGATGTTTAACACCGATTGAACCAGGGGCTTGGAACATTTACATCTCCCCACAGAGCTGCATGAATCTTTAAATAACCCTTTAAAAATGAAAGCACTTCCTCAAAGCCCCTTCTTCCTCTGAAGAACACAGGATTTAATGAGGTTTCCTCTTTCTCCCCCCCGCCTCAAACCCAACACCCACCCCCACCCATGAGTCACTCACACTCCTGCTCTGGCTGCCCAGCAGAGCCACAGCTGAGCTGATCTCCCATGTACAAGGGGGCTTTTAATTTATATTTTAATATGGGATCGCTGCTAGAAATGCAGCACTGGGCAGGTTCAAAGGGATTGCTGCAGGAAGACTTTGGTGGAAAAATTCATATTTATTCCCTCTGCAGCTGCCCCCATCTCTGCAATGCCCCACAAACCCACTGAGGGTCTGTGCTGGGACCCTCCTCATCCTGCTCCTCCCACGAGCGTGTTCCCAGTGTTGAAGGGATTCCTGCCCACCACAAACACTGCACATCCCACCTCAGCAACCCCTCTCATCCTTTAGGCCTCTAATCCCTCTGAAACAGCACAAATTACATAGAGAACATGGGAGATCTTTCAGTAATCTGCCTGTCATCTGCCATGACAGCTCTGATTTGGGTTTAAACGCCACTGTTTGTGTGAGGAGGGTGAAATTCCTGGTGTCACTGCTTCCAGTGTGATTCTCAACCTCAGACACCTGCCTGCTTGGCTGGGATGGACATGGAGCTGAGGAAGGCAAGGGCCAGGCTGGGACCAGTCTCCCAACATGCAGGGAATCCCCCAGGTGTGCCACGTACCCTGGAGACAGAGTCACTTCAGAGCTCTGCTCACAAATAATTCATTCTAGCAAAACTGGTCCAAAGAATTAACTGTGCTGAACAGTCCAGCAGCAGCTGCTCCTGGGAGAAGGGAAGAAGCTGGCACAGGGGTAAGACACCAGGAGGGGCATCCTGGTTGATCAAATCAAGGACTGAGGAATCTGGAGCACCATTCACACCATTCCACAACCAAGAATCTCCTCCTCTGCTGAAAGGATTATTCGGATCTTGAGGCCTTTCCTAAAAAAAAAGCTTTAAACACACAAAAAAAAAAACCCACCACCACTTCTCCCCTACCTGGTACTGTGAAGTCCTGAGTGTAGATGATATCATCTTCAATGTCATACAAGTCATCATCCTCTTCCTCATTGTAGCCATGCAGATCTTCCAGGTAAGGCACCGCCGTCATGCTCCTCCACCTGTCCTTTGTCTCGGGGCTGGGAGGGATGGGCACCAGCGCCTCTGCCTGAGCGTGTTTCTTCCTAAACCAGCTGCAGAGAGCCCGAGGGCAGAGCTGGGTCAGTGCACAAGGCATGCAGCAGGCCTCCAATGGGGATGGCCCCAGCCCACCCCAATATTCCGAGCTGAGAGCTCCACCCACGGCAGGTCAGGAGGAACTAAAAGGTCTGGCCAGGTGTCAGGATTGGAGTGTGCTGAAGGACACACTGGGAACAGGAAAGGAACAGAGGGACAGGCACAGAGGGCAGCTCAGGACCATTCTCTCCATCACCAACTCCAGCCCAAACTACCTGCAAGTCAAAACACATCAGCAGAGCTGCCAGAGCTCCTGAGTTTTATTATCCAAGCAAGCAGGACAGAAGGAACTTCCCCTGTCCTGAAGCTGAGGTTGATCCAGCCCAACAGACACAAGTTTGCAGGATCCCAGCCTGAGGAGAGGGGCAATTACTGCAGCAGTTTCCTCTAAAAGCCAGTTTGCACCAAGACCACAGCAGAAACGCTTCTACTTTATCTTTTTATCCCCCCCTGTCTCAAGGGACTCCTATCACCACCAAACCCCGTGCTGCCATCTGGCCAGGAAAGGATATCGGCTCCAAAAGCTGTTCTTAATCAGATCAGGAATCCAGCAAGCTGCTTCCCAGCAGCATCCCAGAGCCAGATGGGATAAACCTCTTAGGTTTTCATCGTACTCCCATAGCAGAGCTCTGACTCCAGACTGTCTGGGACATCTCCCAGTGCTGCATGTGGGCACCCAAAGTTTCCTGGAAGTGCTGCTTGAGCCTCCACACTCCCAGTGACCCCCTAAATAGGGGTGGGAACAGAGGTTTCTCCAAACCCAGGTACCTCTAACACACCTTTCCAGCCCACACAAGCCTGATGGGACACAAGTGCCTCCACCCTGCAGTTGGCACCCAGTAACTCCTGGCCTCCAACCACGGGGGAGGGCCTGAGCCAGCCCAAGAACTCTCACCAACCTGAGCCATCTGGTTTTTATCACCTCAGTTCCAAATTCCTTTCAGGAAGGAAGGCTGAAGGCACCTCCTGCGCAGAGCTGTAATTATCATTTTGTTCTAGTCTTACACTGCTTTGACAGTCGGCCTAAAAAAAAGTGGGATTCTAACAAAACTATCAGGAAAAGCGAGGAGTGAGCAGATAAACAAATGGAAATGCAGCTACTGGGACGAATCAGGCAGGATTCAAGGGAGGGGTGAACTCTCATCCAGAAAATGCTTCACCATCAGCATCTTTAAACTGTTTTCTCTGCAGCAATGGAGTTTTGGAGCTGGGCAGCCCCTTGTCTGCAGGGAGGAAGGTGTTGTTTGGGGAGAGGGACAGGAATTGCTGCAGATCTCAGCTGGCAGTTGTCACCTCTGCTCCCTGAAGGGGCACTACAGAAGTTAAGCAAAGCCCATCCCAGCTGCTGGACGGGCAGGAAGGGAGCAGGAGCAGAGTAATTGGTGGATTCTGGCTCCTCACAGATCCCAAGGATGGCTTCCTCGGATGGATTCCTTGGTGACGTGCACGGCACACCGCTCTCCTAATCCGATCAATCCATTTCCCTTCCTTGGAGACTCTGCTCATGGAGGAAGCGACTGCCAAGACAGCAAATCCAGCCTGGGCTGATCCAGCCTGGCAGGATCAGCAGAACAGGGGCAGAGGAGCAGCTGGTTCTGCCAGGGGCACTGGGGCTTGAGGGATCCAAACTCCACACCAGAGACCTTGGGAGAAGGGAATATCCAGGACAAATGAGATCAGAGTGACTGCTGTTAAAAGGAGAATTTTAAAGGGAAAAAGCCTGGAAGTCTGTGGCAACTGGTGTTTTTATTTTGCTGTATTTCAGCTCTGCCTCACTCTTCCCTCCTGTCCTACTTACCAGGAGAGTAAAAATAGGTTTTTATTAGCAGCAGAAACCTGAATCACTGTACTCCAGTCATTATGCTTCCATCCTCCGGGAGGTGATTTCAAACACTTGCATATGCATATATGGTAATGAGGATAGAGAGTGAGAAGAGAAATCCATTGAAGTTCTAAGAAAAATCAAAGACCTCTTGGAAGGAGCCTCGAGCAATTCTGTACAGAATAGTGGAGTATTTCCTGGCAAGGATTTTCCAGCAGGGACAGATATTCCGCTTTCTGTGCTGGTGCTGGAGGTTGTCACTGAAGATTTGCTCTTCAGCTGAGGACCACTGGCTCTTGGAACACCCTCAGCTGCCTCAGGAAGCCACTGCCTGAGCCAGAAAGCAGCACGGCCTGGTCAATGATGGCCAGGAGATAAAGCCCCTCCTTGACCCTGCCCTCACCACCGCCCAAAACATGGGCTTGGTGTGAGCCCTGCTGATGAGTGCTCTGTTCCACCAGTTTTTCCCAGTTTCAGGGATGTTTCCTGAGCCAACTGGACTGGCAGACACACAGTTACCTGGTGCTTGTGGCAGCTGCTTTAGCCCTGAGGGCGAAGAAAACATTCTGGATATCTCAGAAGCGCCCCTTGTGCAGAACATCCCTCTGCAAGAGGCAGATTCCTCTCTGGTCTCTGTTTCAAAGGGCTGGGAGTAGCTTAAAATGCTTCAGAGTGAAGGCAGAAGTAGTAAAGGATTATTTCTTCCTATTCCACAAGCTCACTGAGGCGCCTGCAAAGCTCAGAACCCCCGGCCAGCAGCGGCACAAGCGTTAATTGTGATCCTGCCAGGCAGAAGTGGTGCCCAGACGGCTGCTGTCAGCCACAGGGAGATAAGACAGCAAGGGTCAAGGACTGAAGGGAAAAGAGGAATGTGGGTTGCCCAGTGCTTAATGAGCCCAGTGCTTGATTTGCAGCTCCCAAGCTCAGATCTCCCATCACAAGTCCTCCCTCTGCTCTTTTCAAGTCCTGGTATAAGCAAGGTTAAAATAAGAATCTTGTAAGCACAGCTGCAGCTTTCCAACACTCCCAGCTATTCACTTCCCATTTGGGTCACAAACATTGCAGTTGGCTTGGTTTGCACAGGGATGGTTTTCTCTGAGAGCAGATGCCAAGCTGCAGATCCCTGCCCTGCCAGCCAGGGTCAGGACGAGCGATTCTCCACCTCCTGTGATGCCATGTAAGGGCCTCCAGCTCCCTGGAAGGTCACTGTCACCACAAGCAGCAATGAACAAGGTTCCAGTTTAGCTCAGCTCCCTCACAGGCAATCGTGGAAGGCACAAAATGTCCCAGGGAAAGGCAACACACGCCAGCAATGTCCCTGCAATCATTGCTCCAGCTCTTGTTGGATCAAGAGATGTCCGAGCTCTTCAGTCAGGTTCAGAACAAACACAAGTGTGAAACCAGCAGTTTCTCCCAGCTGCTGGTAGGACCACTAAAAGTGGCAGGGATGGCTCAGACTCCTACAAGGAGTTCTGGAGATTCAGTCCTTTAACACACCACATTACAAAACTGATTTGCAGAATGTGGGTAAGAGAAGGAAAGATCTCTTCCATGTGCTGCCAGAGGGTTGAGAAGATTGAGCCAGGTGCCTCAGGAAGGAAGAGGAATGCTTCTTTATGTCCTGCTGAGGGGAAATCACTGCCTGGCATTACAGAGAAGGGATGGAGAAAGCCCACAAGTGTACAGGCAACAGCAGAGGCTCAGAGAAGCCCCCCTCCCTCCCTCAAAGGCAGCCCAGGAGCACAGCCAGCCCCTGAAAAGGAGCCCTGAGCAGCACCACACAGATTTCCAAGGGGTTTGGTACCCAGCTTTGAACAGCACAGCATGCCAGAGCCACACTCCAAACCCCACAGGTGCTGGGAAAGGCAGCACAGCAGCTCCAGGAGGGCAGGAGGAGACCCCAGCCCTGCAGGTTAATTTGCACCTCCACTAATAAAAGGTGGAAGTGCCTCCCCTCTCGTGCTATGAACTCCTGCAATCGGATCTGCGCCTGAACAAATTAAGTGTGACACTTGTGGAGAGGGAAGGGAAGATGGTTGCCTTGGAAACAAGGGACAGAGGTAGAATTCTGCATCCACTTCATCACTTTAAGTGCTGCAGCAGGTCAGTGAATTAGTAACAAAACGCAATGTGTGAGCAGGAAGCCCTTCAGCAAAAGCACAGGGCAGAGGGGAGGTGGTGGATAATCCATAGGGAGGAGGTTGCAACTCCCTGGCTCTTGGCAGCTTTTCTTCCCTGCCCTACAATCCCCATCCCAGGAGCACCAAATATTCACAGAACTGAGCTACCAGCACTGGTTTCTCACTGAACATCATCCCACTCGGATCCTTCAAGGGAAAGCAGGTTTTCAGGCTCTTCCACTGCTATTCAGGGGTTGACTTCTAGCAGTTCCTAAGCTCTGAGATGACAGGCTGGGAGAAGTTTAACTCGTTTCAATTTCCAGCTCCAGGTCTGCTCTGCACAGACTGGGTTGAACAGAGCAGCATTTTGCTTTGTCCCACTCCAGTAAAAGTGCAGAGACAGGAGTTTGATGCAGTTCAGCTGCAGGAGTGAGGAGGGAGGAAGGCAGCTGGCAGGGATGAAACTCAGCAGACTCTTCCTCCAGCATTCCTCGGCTGCTGCAGGCCAAAAGCATTTGGAATAGCTGACAGGAATAATGGGAGGAATGGCTGGATTACCATTGCTGGGCTGCCTGGATGCCTTCCCTGCCTTCCTGCAGCTCTGGAATAGCACTCTGTGCTCCCTTGATGCTGTCTCTGTGCCCCTGAACCACTGATTTTATCCCTGATCCCACTGCAAGTGCCTGCAAGCTTCATGGAAGGTGAAGTGGGGAAGGATGGATCCTGAGCCCCAACTCTGTGGCTGCAGGGCACTCGCCCTGTGACGCTTCCCTTGGGATCACCCCTCCCACAGGGCAGGGCAACACTGTCCCCACCATCCTGACACGAGCCTGGTCCAGCAGCCTGAGTGCAAAACTGCTGCCTGGGGGCTGCTCCTGCTGATTTCAGAGCACTTTGATGATCCTGACTGTCCATATGAGTGAGTCCCTGGGAACAGCAGCTCAAAGACATAAAAGGAGACTTCCAGCAGCATGGAAAGGCACGGGGTGATTCTGGTTTGAGACGGGATCCATCCCAGCAGGGCAGCCTGGGGAAGTTGCTTGATGTTTCTCTGATTTAGTTCCTGCCTTTAGCACATGCTTTTGGGAGGAGGAGTACAGAGAAACCCACAATCATTAATGATTTACTCCCCCCCAACACATGAAATTTAAGGGTTCTAGAAATCAAACCTCTTCTTACTAAAGTGCTTTCCCAAACCCCCTCTGCCAATACCCGAATGGCTGCCTGCTGTCCTGACGGCTGTGTTCCATTTACACAGAAAAAAACAGGGTCAGGTTAAGCATCAGGGCTAAGCTTCTATTTAAAGAAAAGGCAGGAGAACCAAGCTCTGGATTCTTTAGCACAAAAAGAAGCCGGACAGACACATCCAAGGCCCAGGCCGCAAGCTCTGCTGTGCTTGATGTAATTACTAGATGCCACAGCAGGAGGAAGGAGGCAATTACTAATAGGGGAGAAAAGCCTGTTAAGAAGCACTGGCTAAGCTCACACAAAACTAATAAGAGCCTAAGCCTTGGAAATGCTCCTGGGTTTGCAGGTAGAGCCTTTCCTCAGCCCCTCTCGATGCTGTGGGATGAAAAGCCTTGGCACAGCAGCTGAGGAGCTCGGTGGCTGCCCCGTGCCAGAGGCGTGCTCCAGTTTCTCTGGATTTCTAACTACAGGCAGCGTCTCTGGAGACCCCTCTGTGCTTCCAGCTGGGCAACGCTGACACAAAAAATCACTGCCACGTGGGAAGAGGGTAAAACGGAGTATCTGGGGCTGGGGAACCAGCTCCATCACCCAGCAGTGACCCATGAGGGCCCAGGGCAGTTCCTGAGCTCAGGGGTGGCCACTGCAGCCACAGGGAGGGAAGTGCTTTTAGTGCTTTTCTTAACACCTACAGATGACTCCATAGACTTAATTCCTGCTTCCTTGCAGTGCTTCCTGACAAAGCATGGCAAGCTGATCCCCTCTGGTCATGGCCACTGGTACTGGGAGGCACGTGCAGGGAAAGGCAGCCTCGAATGGAAGACGCCTGCACCCGTCAGCACCCAGAGCCCCTGAAACAACCCAGGCACAGGGCTTGGCTACTACAAAAGAGTCATCCTTATAATTAATTAATCGCCTGGGCAGCTCCATCAACCCTGCCCCTCCAGCCCTGCTTGGACTCTGGTCCCTCCAATCCCTGCTGGAGCTGGTCCCATCCGCTCTCTGTGGAACCCCAATGCACTTCAGGCCTCTCAGGTTCTGCTGTGGCTCCTTGGGCACCTCCCAGGGACCCCCACCTGCTTTGGCTTTTGACCTGCTTTTTTGGAGCTGTTCCTGCAGCGTGGACTGGGCTCAGCACCACCCTGGATCACATCCTTGCTTTTACAGCTCCCAGAAGGATCTGGGCAGGCTCACAGGACGAGCAGCTGCAGTCCAGAGGCAGCTCTGTCTGTCCTCAGAAGCACTTCCCATTCCAAGAGGAGATAAGCTAATGCAGCCTCCGCAGTGAAGCAGCCTCATGATGCTTTTTGTTCTTGTACTTTTATCCGCCCAGGAAATCTCTGCTCGGAGCCAGCGTGTTCAAACAGATCCTTAAAAAAAACCCTCAGTGATAACGGGGCATTTCCCCCCCTGACTATGGCACGGAAAATGGGGGAGGATATGGGGGAGGAAGGACTGTGATATTAAAGAGAAAGAAAAAAAAAATAAATTTCCTATTGTCCTGGAATGCTTTTCCACATACTGACTCCATATGGAGCAAATACCAGGGGATATTTCTGTCCCCAGACTGGCCAGAACTAACACACGTTGCTGAACAGTCCTACTTCAATAAAACAGCCTTCAGGACCTCCTGTTCTGCTCCATTAGTACTTGCTGGCCTCTGGAAAAAATTATCCAGAACCCTTAATTATCCAGAAGCAGGCACGCCACAAACAGACTTCCAACATATTCCTTATTTACTGGTTAGCAATTCCAGTGCTTCACCGGATGCTCTAATAGGAGGAAAAAAAGCCAAGTGGAGGTTGCCAGAGCCCCAGCAGAGCTGGAGGAAGGAGATCTAGTGACTTCCATGTGTCTGCTGTCAAAAGGAAACAGAAGGTGAGAGCAGGAGCACAGGTACAGGAGGAGCAGGAAGAGAAGAACTGGTAACACTCACTTGTGCTGCCTTATCTGCTGTATTGAGAACCTCTTGGCTGGGTCGTATTCAAGCATTCCTGAAAAGAAGGAAAAAAGTCCAGGTGTGATCACAGACACTCAGCTGAGTCAAAGGCAGGAAGCACAAAGCTCTGCCCTTCCCTCCCCCTCCCTCCTCGACAGCCATGCTGTGTCCAGTCCTGGCAGCTCCAGGCAAGATTTGCTCCATTGGCCACGGGAAACTCAGCATAAAATCCCAATCCCATTGTTGACCTGTTCCAGTCTGTTCCTCAGCTTCCCACCAGCAAGGCAGGTACAACCCTTCCCTCCCTCCCAGTGCAGAGACTGAGGCTTGTCCAGCCCTCAATCACAGCTCCAAGAAAGTCTCCAAGATTTAGCATTTCAGAGCTAATTCCATTAAACCTCCTCCATGGAAGAGCCAAAGCCTCAGGCACAGTGTGGGACCACTTGCTCAGTGCCCCAGATCCTCTGGTCTAATGGAATTCTAGAATACTATTCTGAGGTGCAGCCAAGGAGAACAAAACAAAACAAAACAAAAAAAAAATCATCCTGCTGCCCATCCCTGTGCCCTGGCCAGGACTTGGATTTCTGGGATCATCTGCTGAGGTAGCTGGGGTGGGTGGCAAGCAGAGTGGGGAGAGGAAAAGCAGCTCATCCCTATTCTCTTTGGGAAAGAGGGAGGAGGATTCCTTAAACAGCCTCCTGGGATGCCCACTCTGCTCCACTGCCTTTCAGAAGCTTCACAGCTCAACAGAAGGGAAGGAGCAAATTTTGCCATATTCTTCAGAAATGAGCCAATGGAACCCTGAGAGTTACATCCAGCAGCATCCAAAAGATTCTCCAATGAAGGTTCCAGGAATTTATTCACCTAATGAACATTAACAAAGCCTGGCTGAACACTACAAGGAATTTTGCTTTTACTGGATGATCCCCTGTTGTTCCTGCACTGTCAAGTCTTGCACAGGTTGCACGAAGAATGAGGGTTTGGAGATGGGTTGGAAAAGGAGGAACCCATCTCCAGCAACCAGAAAATTCTGGAAAGCAGCACTCATTGTCAAACAGGAATTGAGAGAATCAGGACAGGAGCAAACAGTGCAGAGTGCTGGGGAGAGCCAGGACAAGGACACACTGAGAACGCATCTGAGTGGACACTTGAGAAGTGAGGGATGGAAAGACACATCCTAGTGCAAGCAGGAAGCTGCAAGGGCCTTGCAGGTGAGATCCTACAATTCAAAGGTCACCAAAGAGATAAATCACCACAGCACATGTGATACCAAAAACTGCTCCAGAACATCTGCCCTGTCAGTCTGTTCATATCACATCAGATCAGGACATGGGCAAAGAGCGGGGATAAGACAGTACAGTGGGGAAAAATGTAAAGTTATTTTGCAGCCAGAACCCAAAATACACTTTGCCCTGGCAATTTGGGAAGGTTTATCCATGCTGGTGACAGCATTAAGAGCTTTAAGGCGGATGGGATCACTACTGACCCACATGACATCACAAGAAGTAGGTTAAAGCAATCCAGGAAGAGCTCTCCAGGTCACAGGTCAGGTTCCTGGCTCAGGAACTCGAGGCACTGGAGTCCTCAGAGCCCAATTCCTCAGAGTTTTAGATTGTTTGGACTTGGTTTTGAAGGTCTTTGAGGATGGAAACTCTACAAACCACCCCCCCCCCACCACTGCAACATATTCCAGAGCTCAACCCTAGCAGCAAAGGAGTTTTCTCACGTTCAGATGGAATTTCTCCTCACCTTACAGAAAAAGAAATAAGTTCAGAGGAAAAAAAAAAATAAAATCCCACACCTAATTAAAGAACCTATTAATAAGATGATCAGACAGTTTCACAGCTGAGCTGCCCAAATGAGTTGACTCTTTTTTTTTTCTTTTTAAGAAATAGGGCTGCAAAGAGCTCTCACATGAAGTTTAGGGGACAAGAGCAAGTACTGGGTTCTCTTATTAGTGTAGTCAGAAACAAGGAAGTCAGGACACCACCCACTCCCCCCATTGATTTATTTAAAAACCACACTTGAAGGTGTTTTTGAAATTTAAGGCATTTACCAGATGAAACCAGTACAAGCAGGAGGAGAAGTTTAAGGTAAATGATTAAAAGAGGCCCAAGAACAGTAGTCACAAACAACCATGGCACAGGGAGCTGTTGCTCTCAAGCCATTAAAAAGGCAGAATGAGAATAATGGAGGGAAAGGAATTTTTACCTCAATGAAAAATGACCGCATTTGGGGCAACATTTGAAAGAAAACGGAAAGTGCCCTTGCTGAAAATGTACATTCATTGCATTCAGCTCTGAGTCACTCGTGGCAGCTCCGTGGCTCAAGTCCTGCACTGAAGAGAGGCTTCAGCAAGACAAAACATCATGTTCTATTCACCAGGCAAGTCATCCCGGAGCGTCTGCCCGCAGCAGCCGCCGCTTGCGGCCATTTAGGGTAAAGACTTCCCTGGAGTTTATCTGCGAGCAGGGATGGGAGAGGCTGTGCCAGGGAACGCTTCAGGAGGCCCAACCCCAACCTCTGCTCCCTGGTATTCCCAGAGGATTTGCTGTGCCCTTACAGGGGTGTCACAGAATCACTGAGTCAAACATCCAGGTGTTCCTTGGAGATGGGGGCTCCAAACCTCACTGGGGCAACCCTTTCCAATGACTGACAAATCTTTCCATGAGGAAATTATTCCTAAAATATGAAGTCCTCTCATTGAGAATTATCAGGTATTAAATTGATAAGAACAGACTCCACACCGTTGTGGCCAGACAGGGGTATCGTGTCCTCTGCAGCACATCAACAGCTTCAAAACCCTTTCAAATCACATCAAGTGACAACCCAGAAACTGGAGATCATGGATCTGCCCTGAGCCCACACACTCAGTGATCCTGGACTGGCACAGCTCCAGGGCAGAATTCCTGGAGTTCAGAACACAGGACAGTCTCAGGTGTGGGCCTGGAGAAGCAGGAAGAAATCCAACAGCAAGGTTAATGAACTCAACCTGGATTCCACTTCAGTCTCCAACTTGGATCAACATTTAACAACCACTGTAAAAGCAGTGTGAGGCCAGTCTGTAAATGAGGCAGGACCTTCTCCCTCTGCCTGCACTCAGCTGGCTGTTCTGGCCACAAACTCCCTCTGCAGGCAAATCTCGAGCCCGTGATCCAGGACAGGCCTCTGGATGTGGCAGTCCTTGGGGACTCCTGCCACAGCAGAATTAAAGCATCCCCCTGTCACCAGGACACAGCCTCTCACTGTCCCAGCAAGGAAAGGTCATGGAAGTGAGAAAACAAACTGCTGAGGATCCAACCACCATGTCCCAGGTCACAGGGCTTGGAAATCAATCCAGATGCTGATTAATGCAGAGCTGCAGCCTCAGAGCTTCCTCTTCCAGTAAAACTCTATTAGAGCAGGAGGAGGAAAGCTGACTTTGTGCATTTTTCTGGTCCAGAAGCAAAGTGCACAAGAGTTGATAAGACATGGGCAAATGCTGCCAGAAGAACCTTAAGGTTATTTATAAACTCTTCCACTCTGACACATCTCTCCTGACTGCACACACAAAACAGCACCAGCCCTTCTTTCCATCCCTGAAGAGTATAAATAAAGCTTCATCCCTGATTAGGGAGACAAAATGAGGAGCAGCATCCCAACTAATCTGGAGGATATACTGTCATGCGAGTCTCTTTACAAGCCAAATACCACTGAAGCTTTAAGTCCTCTAAACTCTGCTGTTCTGGAAAAGGGGAACAAAGATAAGAACAAGCTCAAGGGGAAAAAAAAGTAAAGGCGCACTACAGAAGTAGTCAACAGAAGAACAAGAAATCTTTACAAAGTGTGTTTGTGTTTGCTTCACAGCTCGGCTGTGGGGCCTGTGGTCAGCACAGCCTTGGCAGACAGAGGAAATGAGCACTTTGCTGCACTGAATTCTGTCTCACTCAAACCCAGACCAGGCGCTCACAGCCCTGTGAGGGCTTTTAGAGCCTTTCAAAGCAACACAAAGATGAGACAAAACCGCCAGAGTGACAGAGCTGAGCTGGGGGTGTCTGTGCTGCTCACACAAACACAGCCATTGACAGTATCCACAGGCCGTGGATTCAGCTCCAGCCTGCTGCAGGAGGAGTGGGCACTGACCAGGAAATGCAGATGTTCGGGAGGAACAGCAGGAACTAAATAAAGGATCCAGGTTTGTCACCATAGCTACGTGGTGCCACCACTGCACGGCTCAGCCCTGGGCCTCAGCAGATGCTGGGGAGCTGCTCAGGCCTCCAGAGCAGGCAGAGCTGGGGCAATCCCACCCCAAAATTTATCAGCCTCGAGGCCACCTGGCATGCTGACCACTGGAAAATGTGTCTTACACCAAGCAAGTGGAATATCAGAAGGTTTTGCCAGCTTTTGCAATGTAGCAGCTTGTACACAGCAAAATGAGGGGTGGGAGACTGATCTCAGGTGGGAGAGAACACAGGAAAAGGGATCCTTAGGGCTTCCCACTTTCCTGAAGGAAAGGGGTGTAGCCACCTCCTCCCAGACAAGCTCCTCTCCTCACCAAACCCACTCAACTCCCACCTCTATGGTGCACAAGCACAGAAGGGATGCAGACAGACAAACTGACAGCAGTGAGGATGCAAGAAGAGACTCAGGCTGTAAGAGATGGACAAAGGGCTCCAGATTCAAGGCTCCTCCATGTAAAATCAGGCAGAGGGAAGAGCAGGTAATTCTGGCTCCAGATCTCATGCAGGGGTGGGAAGAGAACTAGGAGGGGATTTATTGTGCTAATGAAGCACAAGATTTTAAGCTGTCAATATCCTCAGCACAGGAAAAGAGAAAACTGCCACGCTCCTTTTCCCTGGGGGAAGCACTAAGTGCAGCTGAGAGGCTGATCACAAACCTCCAAGAAGCTCTGCTGGATGCTTTAGGAGAGCTGCTGCCGGACCAACAGGACTGCGGGATTTGCTCCATTTGGGCAATTCCCAGCTCATTAAAAAGCCACATTTGGAGTCAGCAGTCAGAAGCCAAATGCCACACGGAGCTCAGGCCACTGTTCCCCGGGGCTGGCAGGTACAATGTGAAGCACATCAGACCATGAGCAGCCGTCGTGTCGGGCTCAGCGGAGCAGCCGGATCCCGGCTGTGCCGAGCGCCATTGGAAGCGCTGCCTTATGTAACGCCTTCGGAAAGCTGCTAAAGCTGGCTAATGCTTTTGGAAACACATGGAAATAACTGATTTCATCATTGGCATGGGGCCAGGGAAGCTAAAATAGCCTCTGAGGGGGGCTGCGGGGGTCTGGCAGCTCCTTGGTGCCGAGGGGCCGGGGGAGCCCCGGCGGCGGCAGCGGAAGAACTCGGACTGACAGCACCACCTGCCGCCGGCACGGCCGGCACGGAGCCAGGAGCTGGGGCCCTGCACTGAGCCTGGAGCTGTGTCCCTGCACAGAGCCCAGAGCTGTGTCCCTGAACCAAGCCTGGAGCTGTGTCTCTGCACAGAGCCCAGAGCTGTGTCCCTGCACCAAGGTTGTGTCCCTGAACCAAGCCCAGAGCCCTGTCCCTGCACCAAGGCCGTGTCCCTGCCCTGAGCCAGGAGCTGTGTCCCTGAACCAAGCCCAGAGCTGTGTCCCTGCCCTGAGCCAGGAGCTGTGTCCCTGCACCAGGAGCATGGGGCCTGCAGAGCTGACACGCTGCCAGCAGGGAGGAACTCGGTGCCCCCAGCCCCTCACCAACCCCACAGAGCACAAGAAGCAGGAAAACCAATGTGAAACAAGACAAACATCCCACATTTGGGGGCTGATTCCCCACAAAGAGCTGAAGGATGAGCCAAGGGCTGAGGAGCATTGCTGCATCTGAGTCTTCTGCTGCTGAGGAGGCACTGGGAATGCTGGTCAGGCTCTCCCACAGGCTGGAATCACATCCCAGCTCCTGCCAAAGGGGCTCACCATGCTGCTGGTTGCCCACAGCACAACTGCTGTCCTGCCTGACCACTCAGCTTGCACAGGTAGAGACTGCTCTGCACTGAACCTCAAACTGCTGCAATAAATGACGGGAGTAAAATAAACCAAAACACCTCACAACTTTTTCCCCAGAAAGTGCCACTCCTGGTTCTATCCCAGGTCTGCTGTGCAACTGAGCACCTGTCACTGCTCCAATATCATGCAGCTCTGAAACTGTGGGGGAGAAGGAGACAAATGGGACTTAGACAAGTAAGTCCAGAGCAGAGGTTGATGAGGGGGACGGCAGACCCTGAGTACTCAGTGTGTGACATTAGGGAAAGCCTGGACACAGCATCTGAGTGCTCTCACTGCCCAAACATGCATCAATGCTATTATGCCATCTTAAATTTAACCTCTTGTGGGCTTTGTCTTTAGATGTAAAGGTTTCTCAGAGCACAGGAAACAATGCAAGAACCAACTCTATACAGGAGTGGCTGCGAGCTGTGCAGGGGGTTAGAGGATTTCAGGAAAACACCAGTGCTGAAGATGTGGCAGAGTCCTGTAAGGCTGCAAGTTAAGTCTGAGAGTGGAGGACCACAATCCTCTGGAATTGTGTAGTCGCCTTTCCCGATGTTTTCAAATAATTTATAGATATTATCCCCTTCAAAAGGGTACAGACCCGTTGTGATGTTGTATCTGTGAAGGCAGAAGGAGAAGCAGGATGAGAAGCAGCACACAGATACTCAGTTCTTACCCGACCATGTAAGCCAAAAGTAGTCAAGAGGAAACCAAGAGGAGTATTTGGCAATATGTGCAAAACCTCTTTAAGCTTAGCCTGCCTTCATCACAGCTTTTCATTCACAGGGGTCAAAACCACCAGGACATCTCCCTGACACTGTGGGACAGCAAAAACTTAAAAATAAATACTGGAGATACTTGTGGTTTCTGTTACTGCCCTGGCTGTGCCTCTGGGGGCTGAGCAACAGCTGCAGAGTCACTTGTGGAGAGCAAAGATCCCCTTGTGCAGAATTACAGGTACTTTGGGGAGCATAAACCCACCCACAGAGTGAGCAGCAGCCCTCCTCAGCTCCCCCCACCACACAAGAGCAGCGATGACAGAGCTGGGCCAGGACTGAGCTATCTGAGGGTATCATTAGTTAGGAAGTTCCTGGGGGCTCCTGGGCACTCACAGCGTCACCCCCGCAGACCAGATGTCGACTTTAAAGCCTGAAAAGGTGTCAAGGCCATTGGCAATTTCTGGGGGCTGGAATGCTGGCGACCCTTGGCTCGTCCTGCACGTGTCATCCTCTGCAAATGGATGCAATGCCTGTGGCAGGAGAGAACAAACAGTGTCAGGCTTCCAAGGAAAACAAAGTGTGACTCCTGGAAAAGTTCCACCTGGGAAACAAAAGGGGAAAACTCCTCTACTGAACATTTACAGATGATGAGATCATGCCACCACAGCTGCCACATGCAATAGTGATAAGTTTCCCATCTCTCATACCTAAGACAGCCTCCATATAAAATGAAGGATAAGGTTATGTAGCTTATCCTCATTTCCCCCCACTTTTGGGCTCGTCCAAGATTGACATCTTTCTTCTCTGTGCTTCCTGAGCAGAGGTTTCATGCTGTTACCAAAAGAAGTGCTTTGCCAATTGCAATAAATATTCAGAGTCACTCAGAGCACTCTGCAAGTGCGACAGGACAAAAACCTAAATGCACAATAAATCAATGACACCACAGAGGTGACCTCAATCTACAATGTCCCATTCTGACTTTGCTGTGCTTCTCACATACCTCTGCTACGCCTAAATCGGATATTTTTAGTGTCCCATTGGTTGTTAGCAGGAGGTTCCCCGGTTTTATATCCTTGTGGACAATCCCTTGGCTGTGCAAGTATTCTAAGCCATCTATAAGCTGACAAAAGTACCTGCAGAGAGAGGTAGAGGGGAAAAAAAATCAAACACTTTTAGCCAGTAGAAAGGAGCTTTTTGCTGCACTCAGAGACTCTGGGCCATCATCGTAACCCACACACAGCTTGGCAGTTGTAGAGGCAAGTGTGTCATCTCATAATACCCAGAAATAATATTAATGTGCCTGAATTTCACTTAGGCTGTCTGTAACCTCAGAGATCTTTTAAAATAAAATGAAAATATGACCACAAAATTATGTAGTTGCCACAGATTTGCTGCTCTGCCCTGATTTGATCCTGACAATGTATTTGTATCTATTGCCAGAATTTTCAGGTTTCTTTCCCTGAGGAGTGAAAGGGGCTCCAGTTTATCCCAGCTAACTACCCCAGCTACCAGATCATGCTGGATATTGCCAATCACTAATCCATCCCATTAAAATATTTCCTGATGCTGAATTGTGGCTTGACCTCAGTTAGTAAGGAGATTCCCCCCTCACAACCCTTGGCAAGGCAGGAGCACAGGGACTCGAGGGGGGCTGTTGGGCAGCTCAGGAAGTAAAATAAAAATAACAGAAAAATCAACAGAAGGGTGGTTTTCCTTCCAGAATCTAAGGGCAATCCCTGCTGGCCACTTCAAGAGCTTTTCACTTTTTTGTATGGGTGTAAAACATGAAATTATTGCACAAAGGCAGGTTTGCCTTCAAACACAGCCTGAGCAGAGCTGAACATGCTCTCCACTCCAGAGAACACAGTGGGGAGAGGAATGAAACTTACCCGTGAGCCTGAAACACTGGAAACCTCTTTTCTGGCACACTGTCCAGCATTTCCTGCATCCCACACACACAGTACTCCATCACCATATACGTGAGGGCAGAGTTAAGGAAGCTCCAGGGTTAACAATCCTCAGTGTTAAACATTCCTCAGATGGGCAGCAGCCCTGTCCCAGAGGGAATGGCTGCACTCCTCAGGTACTGAGGGATGCTCCTCCAGCTCCCACAGGACAGGAAAGCACCTACAGGAAAATCCTTCTGCCAAATGAGCATCTGCAGCTCTGTGACCAGACCTGGAACAGGATGGGAACTCCACAGATGGGAAGCTGGAGATCTCACAGGCATGACAGAGAACAGGGAGATACCCTGAAGTGGGCACAGAAAGTTGGAACTGCTTGGCAGAAGAGCTGCAGCCCGTTCCCCCAGCGCTCTGGGTGTCACATGAGGTGACACTGAGCACCCCAAACCTTCCCCAAAGTTGGTTATTCTTCATTCCCCATCCCAAACACCCAGCTGTGTGTTCTGTGGAACAGCTGCTGCTTACCCCCAGCTCCACAGGAGTATTCCAGTAGCAGGAAAAAGGATCCTTGGAGAGTTGGGAAGCTTTTTGAAACCACACAGATAAAAGCTTTAGCCAAGAGCTGGTGGCACTCTGCAGCATTTGTTCCCTTGTAGTATATTCCAGTTTTTATCTCTGTAAGCTTTAATGTTGGGGCCAAAAATGGGAACCAGTCTGCCTGATGCTGTGACTGCCTGCTTCCTCCTCTCCCTGGGTTTTTGAAGGCAAAGTCTGGCTTGGAGGGGTCTGGGAGAACAGACCCTGGGACACTGGGGAGTGTCCTGACAGAGCAGAGGCTGTCAGGGCTCCCCTGCAATCCTGAGCATGGTCAGTTATTCCTCCAGGCAGGTGCCTTCTTAACCTGAACCCAAAATAAGTTACTTTTTCCCCAAGAAGCCACCTGAGGTAGAAGAGGCAGAAGGAAGACTCCTGCCCTGTGTGGGATCTGGGCTGAAGACTCTGCTGCCCCTTTCCATGTTCCACCTACCAGCTCCAAACACTGAAAACTCATTAAATTCCTGCTCCCTTCCCCATGAGATGCTCTTCAGAGAGACCCTAAAATACTCTAAATAAAATACCCCAGATATACCCTAAACAAGATTTTATGACGGGCACAAAGACACTCGGTAAATCTATAAAAGGAAGAACAGAAGAAAGAGCTCCCAAAATTCATTCCTACCCTTTCTTACTCTGGAAGAAATCTCTGAACTACTTCTATCAGAGTGATGTGGAAGACATCAACTCTCCCACTGTCAGGAGAATAACAGTGATGGGAGATAATCCAGACCAGCTCCTGGGGAGCAAAGAGGCTCAAGGACAGCCTGCCTGGGTGTCATTAACAGCCAGGCTGCTCCTCACCCCTCCCTGGTCACTGATCCACTTCAGGTTGATCAACCAGATTAGAGAACAGCCTTCCAGGCTGGAGCAGATCTATTACAGGTGCCCCAAGCTCTCAGTTCTCTTCCTCAAGGGGTTCTGCTCCCACGCTCAGCTGTACACACTGGTAACAGGATCCCTGGGATGCTGCTCATGGAACTGGGTTCATTTTCTGCCTGGATGAGCTCTCCATTCACCACCAGCTCTGCACTCCCAGACACAGCAGGCCAACAAACAGCCCTTCAATACTAAAAGCTGTTGATATTTTTAATCCAGTCACCATAGCTTTCCCTTTCCCACAGAAAATCACTGAAGGTTTTCATTAGGTGAGTTGCTACAAGAAAGATGGAGAGGGATTTTTTACAAGAGCATGCAGTGACAGGACAAATGGAAATTGCTTCACACTGACACAGAGGGGTTTAGATGGGAGATCAGGAAAAAAAAATCTTCCCTGTGAGGATGGTGAGAGCCTAGCACAGGTTTCCCTGAGAAGCTGTGGCTGCCCTTGGATGCCTGGAAGTGTCCAAGGCCAGGCTGGATGGAGCTTGGAGTAACCTGGGATAGTGGGAGGTGTCCCTGCCCATGGCAGGGGGTGGAATGGGATGACCTTTAATGTCCTTTTAACCCAAGCCATTCTGTGACTCTATGACAAACAGCTCAAGGTTGCACTGCAATTAGAACACTCAGGTGGGAACAGAATCCTTCTTTCCACGGCCCAAATTTCCAATCCCACAACACTTGGTCTGGAAATGAAAACTTTTTATTTTTTTATCACCAAGGGGGGAACGTTGACATCTCTCCCTAAACCCCAACTCTGCCTCCTGCAAGGAACCAACACAGCCCTGTGCATGACTAAAGCCCTGCCCCCAGGGCAGCCTCAGGGAAACAGTTCCTTTTTTGCTGGATCCGTTCCCAAACCTGTTCCCAGCGTGGCTGCTCAAGGTCTGCTCTGTCACAGCCCAGGACATGCAGCACAGGCAGCGCCAGCCAGGAGCTGGGAAAGGGTTTGAACAAAATCAAGGAGCATCCTTGGAGAGATCCAATTTCCCAGCGATGGTTTTGGGTTGTCATCACCTGGTACCGACACACGATGTCTCTCTCGGGCTCCTTTTCCCCGTGCTGCCTCCTCCCTTCTACCTAATTAAACAGGATCTCTCTATCAGTAATTGACTTGCAGTCCCCTCGCTCTGTCGAGGCCACAGCACAAGCAGAAGTTGTCACACTGCTTTATCTTAATGATCTGGTGGCAGAGTGTTTGATCTAATTAACGCACACAATTAAATTACTCCTTTTCTGGAGTACTGTAATAAGAAGACAGTAGTTAGAAAACACTGTCAAAAATAAAAGCATCCGTTTATAGCACATGCTACAAAGGATCAGCTCCAGGAACTTCCACACTGCTTCCAGGAAAAGTGCTCTCAGTGTGGCAGAGTCACACAAAATCCAGCAAACTGAGGATAAAATTGCCTTGATCAGTGCCTGTGTGAATTTGTGTTTGTGTGGAAAGTCTGCCAGGTGGCCGGGATGGTTAACAGCAGTGAAAGCAATTTAGCTGCAAAAATTGAAGCCTAAGAAACATCCAAAAGGGCCTTCCCAAAAGCAGAACTAGAGCAGGGAACAGTGGGAGTTCAAACCTGATCAACAGCCCTGTGCAAAAGGATATATTTTCTGCTTCTCCTCGTTGTACAACACATCCACCAGCTGGATGACGTTTTTGTGCCGTAATCGCCGCAGGAGCTGGATTTCCCTGCAGCAAGAGACAAGGAAAAAGTTATGTTTAAAAAGCTTATTCCCAACTCCATTTCTTCCAAAATTTCACCCCAAATTAACTTGACTGAATGGCTCAGAGACCTCAACTGAATCCTGTGTTTGAGGGGAAAAAAAATAAGGTAAAACAGTGAGGAGCCACCTTCCCTTGGCTCAGGGAACAGCCCCTTGAATGTCACCTTCTGTCAGCTGTTCTGATCTCCAGGGATTTTGTACCTGCCCCAAACCATAGTTTAGTCTCTTTTGCATTAAACTCATCCTTCAAAATCCAACTGGATGCCAGCTGTGGAGAAACAGGCAGAGCAGGACAGTCAGGTCAGGGTGGTTCTGTTGGTGCCCGGCAGTGCAAGTCCTGCTTTTCACTTTGTTCTGCTGCTGCTCCATCCTGGGCTATGCTGAGCTCCCAAATTCTCCTTCTCAGCTCCCTTCCAGAGCCATTTGGCAAGTGCTTTAAGCAGTGTGGTCATACTTCATCAGCTCAGCCTCAGGGAAACAGCATTACAAGGAATTCTAAGCACAGCTTTGGAAATGAGAGCCCCTACCCAAAGACAGCTCAGAGCCCCTCACAGGCACAATTAGCAGCTCCAGTAATGAGCTGAGGCCAGCACAAAGGCTGAGCAACAACCAGGAGCTGCTCCTTGGAAAGGCTTCTCTGATGCTGGAATGCAAGGAGAATCCTAACCTGAGCAGTATGAATTATTTCAGTACCAAAGTTAAGGCCAGAAACTCCTTTCTCAGCTCTGGATTTAGAAGAAACCACCAAGAGCTGAGCAGAGATCCAGGATACCACAGCAAATCTCCCCAAGTGTTCTGTGGACATGGCAGACAAGTCTAATTATAGGAATGACCAAAGGGCTCAAGTGGATTAAATTAGCACAGGAACTGCAGTCAGTGTGGGGCTGAGGAGATCCAGCAGCACGGAGGGAGAGGGCCTTGGGCTCCAACCAGGGCTGCCAGAGGGGAGCAAACACACTCAAACACAACTGCTTTAAGGCCCAAATGTTGGAAACACGTTTAAAATCCTGTCCCAAACAGCTCATTCCCTGTAACACAGCTCAGAAGCACAAACACTAATTCCTCCCACCTTCAACAGACTAATAAATATGTCATATTTCTGTAATGATGCCCAACCCCCCTCCCAAGAAGACTTTTTGAACCAATTCAAAATGCCAGGGCAGTGCCCCCACCCCGGGGCAGAGGCCAAGCTGCCCTTTTCCCAGAGGAAAGATGACTTCTATTTTTAGCCCCTCTTTTGCTCTGGAATGCCTGAGGAGCAGGGACAGCCAGCCCAGTCACCTCCCATCCCGTTTCTCTTTGCAAACCCCTCGAGTAGGAGAACATAGGTCTCACCTCTTCACAACAGGCCTAAATTGGATTTTTTTTCCTTCCAAAATTAACAACAAAACCCCACCACAGCCCACTGCAAGTGACCAGACAGACTGCCAGAGGGCAAGGCCTGCTTCCAAGTACAACCCCCTTGGAGGGAGACAAGGAGAGAAAAAAACCTTCTAACTCGAGCTCTGTCAGATCCATTAAGCTCATCCTGGCGGATTAAGACTTATCCCCTGGAAGGTACCTGCTCTGGCAAATAACAGGGAGTGTTTTGCTCAGAACTGTAAATAGCAAAGCTGTCACCTTGTTCCATGTGCCACACCATTTTGGAAGATGCCAAAGGCAGCCTGGAAAGCAAACTCTCCTTCCTGGACATCTCCACTGTGGGATCCAGCGTTCCTCCTACAGCTTGTTCCCAGCCATTCCTGCCTAAACAAAACCCAGCAACACAGCCAAAAGATTCATTCCCTTCCTTTGGTTCACAAGGATTCTTCCCACAACATCCTGGAAGCTTAGGAAGTGCAGCACCTGCTCCAGGACTGTGTGAGCCCAAGGGATGGAAGTGCCAGGAAGATCTTGGTGTCGCTTTTTTGCTTTCCTAGTCCCAAGGGTCCATCCACATCCTGCTCCTGCAAGGATGTCTGGCATTCCAAGCTCTATATCCACCACAACCTGTGCTCTTCCATGGAGTCCCAGCATTTCACCTCTCAACCCAAGCAAACATCCAGCTCAGCAGGGGAAGTCCTTGAGCCACGCAGCTCCATGGGGAACACGTGTCTGGGGAGATGGGATCAGCCCATTCCCACATGAGCCCACGCCTCCAGGGCTTCCAGCAGAAGCTGTCCCTGTTTGGAGGCTCCAGCTTGGGACTTGCAGACCCCAGGAACAAACTGTCACAGCACAGCTCCATAACCCAGGTTAACCCTCCAAGGAATTCCACAGAGCACAAAATCCAACCTGAGCAATTGCCGAGGTGGTAAGTACAGCACAGGGCACTGGGGATCCCACAGAGCCCCAAACACTTAATTAACGTGTCAGGCTATTAGCACACGGCGTTATTAAACCTCTGCTGCTGCAGCCACAGGCTGTCAGGTTTTCCTGCCTCTTTTTTGGCAATCCCACTAAACTTTTTTTTTTTGCAGGGATGAGATCCAGCAGTGTCTGCCTGACTGAGCCACCTCCACTTGCTCTAAAGAGAAATGAAGATTCTCTCAACAGATCTAAGGAAACTGTGTCTTACAAGTTTAAGCCCTCAACATCCTCTCCAAGACTCGGAAAGCTCTTCAGGGCTCATTTTCCTGGGGCAGAAGTGGAGTATTTCGGGGTAGAGAAAAATAATTTGATTTGATCTAAGTCCCAAACACATTTTAGTTGTAATTTCTGGGTCTCCAGAACACCAGGAGACAGGCTTGGGGCAGGGATGATGCTGTGGCCTGGGATATCAGCAAGGAGTGACCCAAGAATGGCATTAACATCCTATTTCCAACCCAACATCTCCAGGTGCCCAAGGCCCAGCTCAGACCTGTGTGATCCTCCACAGCTCATTACTGCACTCTCATTACTCCCTGTGCATTACTGCTTGTGGAATTACCCAAGGGCCACAGTCTAGGAACTGTTTTCCAGGGAATTCCTTGGATGACCTGCTATCAGCACAATAGCTCAATCACCTCTGCCCAACATCCCAAGCCTCACGTGCAGCTTTTCCCTTTGGAAACCACTTCAGTGATCAGATTCCAAGAGAGAAAGTACAACCTGATGATGTGATCCAGCCCACAAACCGATTTCCTGCTGTTCTGTGCACAGGAGCAGTTTCTGGGTGTCAACTCCTCAAAGCAGCTCTAACACAGCTGCCCAAAGTGAGATTCCAGTGCAGTCTGGCCATGTTGACATTAAAACACTGTGTCAGTGTCTGTCCAGCACTACCTGGAGACCCACAGCACTTTGTTCCTCCCACACTGACCACCCAGACACCTGGGCTTGGTCACATATCTCCACACTCAGAACAGACACAGCTTTCACTCCCTCTCTCAGCAGTGCTGAAGGGTTCTGATAAGCTCAGAGCACCAAGGGACCACAAAATACAACAGTTTGCCTTAAAATTCCCCACTGAAGCAGCAGATAAAGCACATGGATAGGTGGGCAGAGGGAAAAGGGTGAGGGAACAGAAATAGGAACTTGAACTAAAGTAAACCCCTGGGTACAAGCCAAGACCTAAAATCTGCCTCGGTGTTTTGGAGCAGGTGGGGCTGAGCCAGGAAATGTCCACAGAAAACCCCTTCTAATAACTCCCTTAATGACCCATCTGATACTCACAGCCCCACTCTGAGCATGAATAAAACTTCCACGGAGTTCACCTCAGGACGCAGAAGCATTCCCATGGCTCTGAGAGCAGGGAACTCTCCTGATGTGGGCAAACTCTTTCTACTTAATTTACATTAAAAGCTTCCCTAAGGAGGAAATGTTCCCCAGCAGCAGCTCTGGATGTGCCCGTGGAAGGACCCAGGGACGGGGCTCTCAGCTTCCACCAGAAAAACAAGAAACATTTTATTACACATTAACCAAGTTTGCACCATCCTGAACCTGAGCCAGGAAGGGAGAGACAGGGAGGTCCCAGCCTTGGGATGTGACTATTCCACAGCCAAGGCTGTGAAGAAAGGTTAGAAGGCAAAGTCAGAGAGCTCCCTGACAGCAGTGCTGGGACAGGATGTGAAATATCTCACAGCTAAAATGGGAAATCAAACTGAATGATACACTCAGGACTCTGTAGGTCAGGGCTCACCCACAGCAGAACACCACAAGAGTTTCCTCGACCTCTCAAAGTTCTCCCTCCCAGCCTAGATAAACCCTCATGGGTTGTTTGGGCTGCAGAGGCTCCTGCACGGCTGATAAGCAGCTCCTGGCAGGGCTGGGACCCAGCTGCTGCGAGGTCCAGGGAAAGGAAAGTTCCCACACCAGCTCCACGCATCCAGCCCCGCATCTGACTTCTCCTGGGGTTCACTTCCGTAAGGGCTTTGTACCCTGAGTAACCAGAGAGCTGACAACCCTTGGCTCCATCTTACAGGCACAGAAATCAGCTGGGGAGAGCCTTGAGTCACCTCTCAAGGACCTTAGAAATGAAGCCAAGGAAAAACCCAAAACTTTCTGTGCCCAGGGGGTGCCCCATATATTGGATCTTGTTCCAGGCACCTTCCACATGGGTGGGAGAAGGAATTGCAAGCTTCAGAGAGAGCTCCAGGGCCTTTGAAACACACCTGGGCAGGTGCAGAAATAACCCTGATTGTGAGGACACCAGGCGTGTTTGTGTCCCCTCATCTTTCCCAGCCAGCAGCAACTGGGCAAGGTGACACCTTACAGAGGAATTGCTTTAAGAAACAAATTTATGCTTTAAATGACACCAAAGTGGTGTATTCCAGACCGTCCCAGTCCTTGGGAACCTGTCCCTTCCCTATGCCCAGTCTCACCCAGAGCGCTGGCTGCTGTTCAGAGGGAAGAGATTCCTAAATACCTGTGGATTAGGAAGCACTTCCACAGCAGAGCCACGCTGTCAGCTAAAACAACACAGGAACTCAGCTGCTAAACAAGGACCAAGTTCACCCCCTTCACTCCCTGAACTCTTTACTCACTTTTTCACATTGGCCTCCCCGTTGGGAATCCGGCGCAGCTTCTTCTTCTTCAGGATCTTCACAGCTCTCCTGCACAGGGTCTCTGAGTCCAGCATCTCCTTGACTTTGCCGTAGGAGCCCTCTCCCAGCAGGTCTCCCATGAGGTACTTGCCGATGAGCTTGGCCCGTTTGCGCCGGGGCTGGTAAATGACCTCGGTGGAGTCGATGCGGTGGATGAACGTGTCCATCCCCACCGACATCAGCTCACTCTCCGCAAACATTCCCAGCTGCTGGGGCTCCTGCAGATCCATCCTGGATTAAGTTCCTTAACCTGTTTTTTCCTTAAGCGCTCAGGGCTTTAATCCTGTTTGTTAGTTTCCAACACTCCCTTTTACTCCTTCTCGGGAAAAAAATATCCAGAAGATTGTACAAACATGAATAATAATAATAATAATAATAAAAAGAAAAAAAAACAACCAAAAAACAGAAGGAAAAAAATAAAAAAGAAAACCAAACCTAAGAGCTGCTTCCAGGTCAGTTGGATGCCAAAAGATCCCGGCCTGGCTCCAGAATGTCTTTGAAAAAAAACATAAATTTGTGACGGGACACACTCAGTTTGGGACTCGTTTTGTTTCCGACCCGGTCCCACTGCCGGGGGCTCTTCCCAGTCAATTGGCCTTGACTGGGCCCAGTTTGATCCTGCAGAGTTAGGTCATTTCCAGGCCGTCAGGCCACCCCGTGGAACCAGAGCAGCTCCCAGTCCCTCTCGTGACTTTCCATCCCTAGGAGCTCATGATTCCCAGCCGGGGTGGGAAGGTGTGTTCCCGCCGCCCTCCCGGGAGCACGGGCCGGAGAGGGGGGTTCAGCCGTTGGGGAGCTGGAACCAAGTTTCCTTGAAGGAGTTTTCTGAAACAATTCTCGCGTCTTCGCTTTCGCCTACAAAAGTTTGAGGCCTTCGGTGCCTACCGAGAGCTCCCGGGGGCATCCTTCATCCACCGGGATTCCGCCTGGCACATGATGTGTCACCACCTCTGCTCCGGGTGTCAGCGGTGCAGGACAACACAACCCACCCGGGGGGGGTCGGGGGGACCCTCTGCCCGGTGCCCCAACACCCGGCTCCTCCCGGGGGGGGTCAGGGGGACCCTC